ACAAATATTTCTTCCTGTAGCCTGTCATGTGATTAATTTAGATTAACTAATTTCAAAGCCTGTCATTTATTTGATTTTGTTTTTTTGTTTTGTTTTGTCTGGTCATGAGCTCTGGGTAATGACCGAAAGGATGAGATCGAGGATACAAGCGCTCGAAATGAGTTTCCTCCGCAGGGTGTCTGAGCTCCTCACCCTGTCTCTAAGGGAGCGCCCAGTCACACGGGAGGAGCTCGGAGTAGAGCCGCTGCTCCTCCACGTGGAGAGGAGCGTCTGAGGCGAGGACGTCTGTTCTGACGTCTCCTGGACGTGTCCCTCAGGAGGTGTTCATGTCCCACCAGGAGGAGGCCCCGGGGAAGACCCAGGACACACTGGAGGGACCATGTCTCTGGACTGGACTGGGAACACCTCAGGTCCCACTGGAGGAGCTGGAGGAAGTGTCTGGGGTGAAGGAAGTCTGGGAGTCCCTGCTTAGACTGCTGCCCCCGCGACCCAACCCCGGATAAGCGAAAGAAAATGGATGGATGTTTTGTTTTTTAAAATCAAGTCCCACCACAAGCACCATAAAGTTAAATATGATTAAACCTGATGCCCTGGTCAAGAGGCAGCAGCACAAACAGGAAAGACAAGACCAAAAATACACATGAAAACTGTCACGATTATTCCAACAACGACTCACTGTTCAACATGTGACAGATGAAACATGTTTAACACTCAGTATTTATCCTGGCTCCAGTTTACTGAAGTGGGGGCAGTTTGGTAAAGAGTAAAACTGATATTTGGAAGCTGATGTCAGATACACGTGAGACCGGGCCGGGTCCGGGCCGGGTCCAGGACTCTGGAGGGTCCATCGTGAGGAGGATCTCCGAGTCCCCAGAGAGGATCAGATCAGAGAGTCCCCGGGGACAGACACTTCAGATCTGTTTAACAAACCATTCAGCTGTTCAGAGACGTGTTCAGAGACGCACGACAGACCATTCAGCTGTTCAGAGCAGAGGTTTTGTAAATGAGGTGTAATAAAGAAACTGGATGAGAAAATGAAAAGCAGCTCTGTGGGTCAAACAGACATTCACAATTTGTTAAACTGATTTCGCTCAGTTTCCTTTAAAATGTACAAAGTTTGAACTGAACAAAGTTTGACTAAAGCACCTAAAAGTCGATTAAAACGACTTGTGCTGGATCAGATTTACGATTCATCCTTTTTTACATCAAATAATGAAAAGCAACCGAGTAACGTTTACTCAAGTTACATTTTAAATTAAGTCGGTTTTTACTTTTACTTAATTCAAGTTTTTCAGTATTTATTGCACCTCCGTCGGTGTTGGTGCTCTGACCGTTGCGGAAAGCGTCGTCTTTATTCAGCGCGATATGAAACAGAGGAACACGTCTGGACATTTAAAATGAACCAAACCGGGTCCAGAGTGGTTTTTTTTTTGTTTTTTTTTAATGCCTTTCTTGAATCTCCTGCAGTTGAAATTGGAGGTGAGTGAAAATGAGGCACGTTTGTGGAGATTTGCAGAGTTTGGGAGTTTTTTTTTTTCTTTTTTGGAGGAGGAGGAGAGCGTGAAGAAGCGCGAGGACCAGGGCCAGAACACGCCTCGGAGCTCAGGGGACCCCGATAATATATGCACCCACAGAACGAAGACGCACACACGGGATTTACTCCAGACTACACATAATCCCACTGAGCCACACAGCAGAGAGACGGAATTAACACACAGCAGGAGAGAGAGAGAGGGGAGGAGAGAAGAGAGAAGAAAGAAAATGGACAGGACAGAAGAGGAAACGGGAAGAGACACGTGACGGAGAAAAAGAGAAAGGAGGGAAGGAGGAGGGACAGAAGAGAGAGAATGAGGGAGAGACAGGAGAAAGAAAGTGGACTGAAGAGAGAGGAAGAGGGAGAGAGAGAAAGGGAGGAAGAGAGAAAAAGGGAGGAAGAGAGAAGGACAGAAAGAGAGGGGTGCTGAGAGGAAGAGAAGAAGAAAGGAAGTGAGAAAGAGGGGTAGTGAGGGGAAGAGAGAGAAAGAAAGAGGTACTGAGAGGAAGAGAGAGAAAGAAAGTGTGGAAGAGGGAGGTAGAAAGGTAGAGGGAAAGGAAGAGAGGAAAAGAGAAAGAAAGGAAAAGAGAATAAGGAAGAGAGGTAGAGAGAAAGGGAGGAGAGAAGAGGAAGGTGGAGAGGAACAGAGAGAAAGAGGAAAAGAGGAGAAGAGGAAGAGGGAGGTAGTGAGTTGTGACTGGAGTCAGAACAGTGTGAACTCATTAGTATTTCACACTAGAGATACAGCAGTATTCAATATAATATCGACTTGTTCGATACCGATCTCTCGATTCGATCCTCGTGTTTGTTCAGTACGCGTGTCCGTCCTTCCCTGTGCTCCGTGTGTCTTTTGTTTTCTCAGTGTCCTCCTCAGACGCAGCGAAGTGTAAAATATTTAGAAACTCTGCTCTGATTTTCACTGGATCTAAACTCTGACCCGTCGACCACTGAACCAACCGAACTAAAACACACGAGTTCCTCACGAGTTCTGCTCCAGTGCACCTGTCTCATGTTTCATTATCGTATTTTACTCAATAGCAGAAAAAAATGACATGAGATTTTTTTCTTTTTCACTTTAAAATGTGTCAAAATTAGAGCCTGACTGATGTGGATTTTGTTGTGGCCGATATGAAACCGATATAATGGGAGTTGGAGCTGCCGATATAATCGCCAATATATTTAGTGATGTAAAAATTCACTGTATCTTGAATTATTTGAAAAAAAAATTGGTTTGGCTCTGGTGGATTTTAAACTGGGTTTATTTAAGAAACATTTATTGTTCTTCTGCCTCTTTACATCATATGTCAAAAGGACTAAACCAGAACTGAACCAGGACTGAGTGTCTGGACTCGGTCTCTGTCTCTCGACCCCAAGATTAGTCCTGGTTTATTTTATGCTGAATATATTTATCCACACGCAGATTTCTGAAAGTTTTGTTTTCGGCCGCTGTCGCTGTCAAACTCCCACGAGTCTGAACGCGACGTGAAGAGAAAAAAAAGAGAGAAAGAGAAAACACGACTCCCAATAAGGATCAGGCTCCTGTCGTTCTCTTCAAAGAGCCGGATCGAAGAGCCGCTTCGATCACGACCGACTCATCATGACTAGAGAGTAAAGAAACTAGCGCTATTAGCCTTTAGCCGTAAATGCTGCGTGCCACGGTAATTCATTATATGCGCAAATGTCATAATTCACACGTCTGTTCACACTCATTTACATCAATGCAGCTTCAGTATCAAATACAAACAATATAATCACTTTACAACAGATCAATAGAAAACAGACTGATTATGTGCAGGAGCTACAGCAGCTAACCGCTAACCAAAACTATCTTCAGAGTCGACATATTTCAACACTCAGACTCACACAGGCTCCTCCCACATCACACAGGCTCCTCCCACATCACACAGGCTCCTCCACATCACACAGGCTCCTCACACAGGACTCACACAGGCTCCCCCACATCACACAGGCTCCCACATCACACAGGCCCTCCCACATCACACAGGCTCCTCCCCCACATCACACAGGCTCCTCCCCCACATCACACAGGCTCCTCCCACATCACACAGGCTCCTCCCACATCACAAGTCTGAACTAATAAATGTCCTTTTAATCCAGACTCAAACCAATTGTAATAAGAAAATAATCTCAGTGTTGCACATGGATCTGTGTCTGAGTTAAACACACGTGACTCTGTGGTGTGTTCAGGGACAGTACGACACACACACACACACACAGACAAATGACTCCACAGATAAACACTGATGTGGAGTCACATATTTGGACATTTATCTGTAAATTGGATTAAATTAACATGATGTAGAGAGTCTGAGATTTATAACGAGGTGTAACATGCCCACGGGAAATATCGGCTCCTATCAGCAAGCATATTGGCCGATAGCCGATATGCTTCCAGGTGCTCATATCGGCAGATAATATCGGCCACCCGATATATCGGTCGGGCTCTAGTCAAAATCGAATCAATATCGTGACCCGTGTTTCGTGACATGTATCAAATCATGGGAAAACCGTATTGCTGCATTCCTTGTACACACCTGTTAGTAGTATCTGTAGTAGTAGTAGTACTTGTAGTAGTATCAGTACCTGGTAGTAGTATCTGTAATAGTATCGTAGTGTAGTAGTAGTAGTATCAGTAGCTGGTAGTAGTATCTGTAGTAGTAGTAGTAATCAGTACCTGGTAGTAGTATCTGTAAAGTAGTAGTAGTAGTAAGTACCTGGTAGTAGTATCTGTAATAGTAGTAGTAGTAGTATCAGTACCTGGTAGTAGTATCTGTAATAGTATCTGTAGTAGTAGTAGTATCAGTACCTGTAGTAGTATCTGTAATATCTGTAATAGTAGTAGTAGTATCAGTACCTGGTAGTAGTATCTAAATAGTATCTGTAGTAGTAGTAGTATCGTATAGTAGTATCTGTAATAGTAGTAGTAGTAGTATCAGTACCTGGTAGTAGTATCTGTAATAGTATCTGTAGTAGTAGTAGTAGTAGTATCAGTACCTGGTAGTAGTATCTGTAATAGTAGTAGTAGTAGTATCAGTACCTGGTAGTAGTATCTGTAATAGTATCTGTAGTAGTAGTAGTAGTAGTATCAGTACCTGGTAGTAGTATCTGTAGTAGTAGTAGTCAGTACCTGGTAGTAGTATCTGTAGTAGTAGTAGTAGTAGTGTGTAGTAGTATCTGTAGTAGTAGTAGTAGTATCAGTACCTGGTAGTAGTATCTGTAGTAGTAGTAGTATCAGTACCTGTAGTAGTATCTGTAATAGTATCTGTAGTAGTAGTAGTAGTATCAGTACCTGGTAGTAGTATCTGTAATAGTATCTGTAGTAGTAGTAGTAGTATCAGTACCTGGTAGTAGTATCTGTAATAGTATCTGTAGTAGTAGTAGTAGTATCAGTACCTGGTAGTAGTATCTGTAATAGTATCTGTAGTAGTAGTAGTAGTATCAGTACCTGGTAGTAGTATCTGAGGACCCAGCAGAGCCCCTCCACGTACGACTGAACCACTTTCTTCCTGAACTCGTCGTCTGTGGCGTCGACGTCAAACTTGGTTTTGTAATATCTCTGTTTCCAGCCCTCCTCCCACAACCTCGAACACACAAACACACACAATAAATACACAATACACACACAATAAATACACAAAAAACACACAAAACACACAATAAATACACAACACACACACAATAAATACACAAAAACACAATAAACACACAACACACAAAAACACACAATAAACACACATTAAATATTCATGGATGGAAACACAGTGGCAGGTTTGATAAATGTTTGTGGAGAGTTGATCAGTTGTTACAGTGAAGTGTCTTTTTCCTCCTGGACTCGTCTCTGTGGAGTTTGTTTAGAACTAAAAACATTTCACTTTCTCTAATTACAGACGTCAATTAAAAAAGTCCAGAGCCTCATTTACCACAAACACAATAAAACTAATCAGCTTTAAAATGACCAGGTTCGCCTCATTGGTTTAAAAACATGAGTTCTGATTGGTGTGTTTATTCTTTTTATTTGGACTTAAATGAGAGTGAATGTTTTTACCGGACGTTGTCTTCGGGCTCCGGTTCGCTGTCGCTGTCCTCGGCTTTCCTCTTGACGCCGCGAGGGTCAGACGGACCTGCAGACGACTGAGAGCAGGAGGTTAAACGTGAGCGTCACCGCCGCAGCTCCAGACTCTTCTACATCGGGTTTATTTTACGAACGAAAAACGACAAAACTGAGTGAAAACGACGAACGGGACTCACGTTTCCTCCGTTCCTCATCATGGCCTTCAGAGACTGAGCCGCGTCCTGAAAACAAAACCAAAATCATTTCGGTTTCTTTTTAACTCATAATTTCGGTGTCAGTGTCTCTCTGTCAGGGTCCCTCTGTCTCAGTCCGTCAGTGTCAGTGTCCCTCCGTCAGTGTCGGTGTCCCTCCGTCAGTGTCGGTGTCCCTCCGTCAGTGTCGGTGTGTCAGCGTCTCTCCGTCAGTGTCGGTGTGTCAGCGTCTCTCCGTCAGTGTCTCTGTCTCCGTCCCTCTGTCAGTGTCCCTCCGTCAGTGTCAGTGTCCCTCCGTCAGTGTCAGTGTCCCTCCGTCAGTGTCAGTGTCCCTCCGTCAGTGTCAGTGTCCCTCCGTCAGTGTCAGTGTCCCTCCGTCAGTGTCAGTGTCCCTCCGTCAGTGTCCCTCCGTCAGCGTCCGTCCGTCAGTGTGTCCGTCAGTGTCCTGTCAGTGTCCCTCCGTCAGCGTCCGTCCGTCAGTGTCAGCGTCCCTGTCAGTGTCCCTCCGTCAGTGTCCCTCCGTCAGTGTCCCTCCGTCAGCGTCCGTCCGTCAGTGTCAGCGTCCCTGTCAGTGTCCCTCCGTCAGCGTCAGTGTCCCTCCGTCAGCGTCAGTGTCCCTCCGTCAGCGTCAGCGTCCCTCCGTCAGCGTCAGCGTCTCTCCGTCAGTGTCTCTGTCCCTCTGTCAGTCCTCCGTCAGCCAGTGTCCTCTGTCAGCGTCCGTCAGTGTCAGTGTCCCTCCGTCAGTGTCGGCGTCTCACCCGGTTGTGCGTCTCCATGTTCTGCACCCTCATGCTGAAGGCCTGGTGTCGGGCGTTCTGGACGGGCTCCGGTCGCCCTCGTCCTCCCAGAGCCTGAGGAGCAAACTGCCCCGTGGTCAGAAACGCCGGACGCTGCTGCTCCGCCTGAGGTCAGAGGAGAAGAGGGTCAGAGAGGGTTTGAAGAGAAAGGGTCAGAGGAGAAGAGGGACAGAGCAGAGAAAGGACAGAGTCAGGGGGTTAGAAGAAGCAGAGGATTCACTTACCTTCATCCTTTTCTTCTTCTCCTTCATTCGCCTCTTGAAGCTTTCCTAAAAAACAAAAGAAGAACAGTTAAACTCTAAAGGTGCAGTCGGTAAAAGGTGCAGTGGGTTAATAGTCCGGGTCAGTGAAGGGTCCGGTCGGCGGCTCTTACGTCGTCCTCTTTGCGCTTCCTGAAGATGTTGTCCTCGGCCACGCCCACCGCCTGCATAATGAGCTCCACCCGCTCCAGGTTCACGAAGCCGCTCTCCGTCAGGTAACCCTGTCGCCACGGCAACGCAGGACAAAAGGTCACGACATTTCTACATTTTATTTTGAAATTTACATCAACATCGTGCAACACGTCAGAATAAAACCTGAAGAATCATGATGTACAGGGATTTAAAATCAGGTTTGATCTTTAAAGACGCACTGTCTCCATGTTCCTTTTAGTGTTTTGAAAACGCCAAATTTCACCAAAAACAGAGCTCCCCCTTCAGAGCGACATCACAACAGTCAGTGTGTGTCCGTCTACGTCAGGTTTGTGTTGCTGCTCTGAACAGTTTTGGATCATCAGGTCCTTTGTTTGACTCTGATCGGTTCGTTTAAGATCAAAACAAACATTTTATCATTTTCCCTCATGTCTGGACTACAGCTGCATTACTTTTATTTCAGAGGTGTTTTATTAAATGACATTTTTTGTAATGGTGCATTCAGACTGGGACATTAAAAAACACACTTAGTTGGAGCCCTTCATTTGAGTTAAGACGCCTCTGATATGGGAGAAAAATATTTGACACGCATCCGGGACGTCTGTTACCCGGAAACAAGTGCAATTTCCCGTCTTTTCCTGGAACGATGGATCAGCCTGAGAAATTTTAGTTTTTTAATTACATAAGCACATCAGCGGAGGAGATCGTCTCAGCATATATGTATTTATAATCCACTAAAGACACTGTAATCGTCCCGGCCCCGTCTATTTATAATCCTCTATGACACGGTGTAGATTTCTTGTTCTAGTGTTTGTGGTTCATCCACCTCAACTTTTAAAATGAACTGGACGCCCTGACGCCCTGAACGCACCATGAGGCAGCCTCACTTTTTCATTTCTTACTCAAACACAAACTCTTCCCAGTCCGAGCAGCTCGACACGACGACCAGATTTTCAGATTTTTATAAAGAAACAGATTGAATATGATGCAGAATCGAGTTCAACATTTTGGCCTCCACAAGATTTTCTGTTTCTGTTGGAAAAAATAACTGCCCACCCCTTGATCTAAAACCTCCTCAGGCAGGTTTCTGATGAGGGAAAAGTGAGAACAAGGTAGAAACCTCCAAACAAAATCCAAAAATTTAAATCCAAAGTGACGGGAGGAGGAGAAACAGAACAGAAAACAGTGACACAAACATGAAAACACCAAAATCAAACCTGTGAGATAAAAAAAAAAAAACAAAAACACTTCCAGCTCCTCGGGTCTGAACTCACCCCGGTTTTATGCACCACGTCTTTGTAGATGCCGACGAGGCGGTCGATAGCGCCCTCTCTG